TACTAATAACATATCAATGTTATAGTTCAAACTGACTTTCTCTAATATGGTTTGTAATATGTAATGGGCTTGTTGGTTTCTGTTCAACACGAACACTTCTATCTGGGAGGCAAAGTAAATTCAATTGGTTTGAGAGGGACAGAAAAAAAAATGGTATCGTTTCTATTTTTTTTTTTTTTTTTTGCTAATAAACATACATTGTCTGAGCTGGAAAGTGCTCCAACCCATATTCATTTAGCCATTGTACTGGTAAGTGGTGGATGAAATATTCATATTTCATATTCAGTGCAATAAATCATCCCCTTGCAGCGCAGGTAGCTGTGTGCTTTACATGCAGCAATCCCAGCAATGATGATAAAACAATACTTTCCTTAGAAAACAATTGACAAAGATAAGCAAATAAACTCTTGGTGGGCTCTCAGCATTGAACAGCAGCGTGCACTTTAAAAGGAAATCATTTATGCTGTTGTCTTCCTTTCCAGGTGATTTCCTTCAAACCAGCCCACCTCAAGCTGCACCCGCTGCAGCACGAGGACATGCAGCAGGTGCCAGGGCCCAAGGCTGTTCGGGCTGCAGGTGAGAGCACAGCACAGGGGTGAGCTGAGCATGGGCTGCCCTGCAGGCCTTAATGAGAACAAACAGCAGCTCTTTTTCTGCGTGGAGTCCCAGTATTGCAATGTTTCATGCATCTCACAAACAAAAGCTGTAAGAGAAATGAAACAGCAAGCAACATAATTTCCTCAGCTGCATGGTGTACCGCTATTAAATAATCTCAAGTGCATGGGTACATCCTGTGAGCAATTAAAAAACAGCTAAGTACATGAGCAAAATATTTCACCTTTAAATAACTGCAGGTATATGCAAAATGTTTCTTAAAATATTGCTTTTTTATCATCCTGAAAACTTAATTTTGCAGTTGTGCCCATCATATAACTTAAAAAATATAACTATAGCCCATTTTTCACTCAGAAAATCTGTTGTCTTTGTTTGATTCCCTATCCAGAGAGGTTCAGTGTTTAACTTCTGCTTTTAAATGAACTCTTAATGTAGCCCTGCTGTATGTGTCTGTTCCTTCAGCAACAAAGGAATGTCTTCTCTAAGCAAGGTTTCCTTCTGGAGGATTTTGCTTGAATTGTAGTGCTTTGCTACACCATGCTTGTGCCTTTCTGGAGCACCTTCCCCACAGGGATAGGCTGAGAGAGCTGGGGCTCTTCAGCCTGGAGAAGAGAAGACTCCGGGGTGACCTTATAGTAGCCTTCCAGTACCTGAAGGGGGCCTACAGAAAAGCTGGGGATGGACTTTTTGTAAGGGCATGTAGGAAGAAATTCTTTACTGTGAGGGTAGTGAGGCACTGCAACAGTTTCCCCTGAGAGGTTGTGAATGCCTCTTCCCTGGAAGCATTCAAGGCCAGGCTGGATGGAGCTCTGAGCAACCTGATCTAGAGGGAGGTGTCCCTGCCTATAGCAGGAGGTAGGAACTAGATGATCTTAAAGATCCCTTCCAACCCAATGATTCTATTTAATAATATTTAAAAGGGGGTGAGAGATAAATGGCTGAGGCCAGGCTCTCCTTGGTGGTGTGTAGCTGTAAGATAAGGCGTAATGGCCTAAAGCCTGAACATAGGAAGTTCTGTATTAACATGAAGAAGAACTTGTTTCCAGTAAGAGTGATGGAGCACTGGAAGAGGCTGCCCAGAGAGTCTCTTTCTGTGGAGGTATTCAAGACCCATCTGGATGCCTGTGCAACCTGTTGTAGGGTAACTGTTTAGCAGGGAGGTTGGACATGATGGGGACCTTTCCAACCCCTGTGATTCTGCGATTCTGTGGTTCTGCGAATTCCACAGATCCCAAATGCCCTCCTGTCGAAAAATGTCTCATTCTGTACTCTTTTAAAAACACTGAGAGTATCGTGAAGGGAGTCTGCATAGTGACCCTGAAGGATGTAGATAGATTCAAGGATCATAGAATCATAGAATCACAAGATTGAAAACGACCTGCAGGATCATCTAGTCCAACCACCTTCCCATTCCTATTAGTACCATAAGGATGCTGTACACTTGCTGACAGCAAAACCAAAACAAACACAAACCCACCCTTCTGGTAACAACTGCTTCCTATAAGGGGAAGTGCACCATTCTGTAGATAGCAAGAGGACACTATGCTGTGTGCAGTCCCACAGGCAGCTGCATCCTGGCAGAGTAGTGTGGCAATGCCTCGGGAAAGGAGCCGCTGTGTGCTCTTGTCCTAGCATTCTGGCAATGTTCATTAACAGAGTCTACAATATTGTGGCTATGGGAACTGCTCAGGAAAATTTGGTCTATAACAAAGTTCGCAGAGGGACTTGCACAGTTCTCTTTATGCTGAAGCAGTTATCTGAGCTATAGTTTAGGTACATACAGGGACAAAGTCTTCGTATAAATAATGGCTCTTGGTAGCTCTGAAGGAGCTCTTATTGGCTCAGTCTGGAAAAAACAGCATTTTTAAGAATCACATGAATAATTTAAAAAACAACTCTTGGTGCTACTCTGCTCCAGCTAAAAATGGCTGGGGGCTGGGCTCCTCTGCAGGGATCACTCTGCTCACACATTTCCAGATTCTTCCTCTTCTTTTGCTTAGGACTGTACTGAAAGCCAGCAGCCTTGCAGGACAGCAACAAAGGACTTGCTAGTGACAGCAGGGTGGGCAGGTGTTGTGAGGCCCAAGCTACCCTGGTATGAGGTGCAGGCAGGGGTAGACCCCTGGCAGACTTCCACAGTGAATTCTGCCACATCTGCACAGTGGGAGAACAGCCTCCGTATAGCAGAGCAGTGGTGGTGATGGATGGAGCTGACTGTCTTCTGGGTCACATTTCATCAAGGCAGGCTGCTGAGAGCATGGGTTCAGTATCCCCTGCCTGAGGAGGGGACTGCATTTGTGTGTGAGGGAGACATTACCAACTGCAGCCTCCATGGGGATTGCCTATTAGGGTCTTACTTCATCCAATTATTAACTTGTTGCAACATTAATCACTTAGGTTTTACTCTACGCCTTAATTAACTGTGATGATAGAAGTGAGGAGCTGCTTCCTGGTTCAGAACCAACAAACATGGGGGAGCCAGAAGGAGTTGGGATGTGGGACACAAAGCTGCGCTGGTGGGCAGCAGGTGAGCAGCCACCAGCCATAAGGCATGTGTATAATGTATTTCTGGGGGAAAATAGAAGCAAAAAGGAGGCAGAGTGCCTTGAAAGTGCCTGCAATGTCAAACTGCCTACAGCACCTCCCCAGTGGGACAATTACTAGCATCACTCTGGGCTTGCTTTCTGTGCTGACTTCTTAGAAAGATTCTCAATATTCTTTTTCTGAAAGCTCGCTCCCATTTCACTGATTGATGCCATACTGTAGCCTCATCAATGATGTCAGGCTGTTAGCAGCAGGAACAGCTCTACCTGTGTCATGGATGTGGCTGGAGGTGACAGAGCAGTGGGGGGCTCAGCAAAACCCTCCCAGAACTTGCAGTTGAGTTGTGGGGCTGAAGACACAAGTGGCCTGGGGCTACAATGCTGTCTATCACGTAAAAATATTTAAAAGCTAAAGGAGAGAACTGCCTCACAAGGGAGAGTAAAGACAACAGAAGTGATTAGAAAGTACGTCTGACGTTTTAGCTCTCAATAATGCATAAACTATATTGTTTCTAATAAAAGCAGAAATAAAGACATAAGAACTAGGCTGTGAATTTGCACTTTAGCCTTGGAGCATCAAGAGGACCCTGGTGGGAGCAAGATGAAAACAGTCAGAACACTAGAGGAATCTTCCCCCTCCTCCTCTTTCTCATCCTCCTGAACATCACTGGACTGAAGCATGTCCTCCCTGCACACTGCAGGAATGGGCTGCTGCTCCAAACATCCTCCCAAATGCTCCTTCTCAAACTGGGGAAACTGCCCTGAAATGCTACCCATTTTTTGCTGGTGGCGGAGTTAATTGGAATGTTTCAATCCCTGTCTCATGCTGTGTGGTTGCTCTATTTGTACCTGGGAATGTGTTTCTGTGCAAACATAGACATCAATGCCAGTTTTCTTGTTCAAATCGTGAATTAGCAAAAACTTTACTTTATTATGCTAACAGAAATGAAGACAAGCTGTTTCAAATGTCAATTAAGCATTCTGCAGGGAGCCACATAACAAGAGGGTATGTGAAGCTGAAGGGTCAGTTTTTCCTTCCAGGGAAAATGGTTCCACTAGAAGATTCAGGCCTTACCTCTGCTGGATGCTGTTAACTAACGCCTGTGCTGCCCTCCACGTGTGTGAGCCCCTGCTGTCTGGGGCTATTTGTTCTTCCCCCCTTCACTGAGCATTACTCAGTGCACATGTGCATATGGCTGTGCTCCCTCAGCAGTGCCTGCAGCTCAGCACAGCTTCCCCTGCTCACTGAGCTCAGCGGGAGCCGATGCAGCCCCTCACTGAGTGTCGGTGAGGCCACAGTGGCTGCAGTGCTGCGTCCAGTTCTGGACTCCTCAGTGCAGGAGAGACCTGGGCACTGCAGAGTCTGAGGATGGGCCACCAACATGATGGAGCGACTGGAACATCTGTGCTGTGAGAGGCTGAGAGAGCGGGGGCTGTTCAGCCTGGGGAAGAGGAGGCTCTGGGTGGATCTCATCAATATGAAGCAGAAGGAAGGGCCTATGTCCATCAGCACTATTAATGGGTGCAGCTGTGGGAATGCCTCAGATAAACTTGAAAATTGATTTTGCTGATTTCACGTTAGAAATGGAAAACAACAACTAGTTAATCCTTTTGTACTACTTATTTTGAAATTCAGCTTGTATATACTGTCTGTTTTTACTGCTGGTTAGTCTGCAATGAAGGTTTGTATGAAGGCGTCAGAGAATGATAGCTTTTAGCAGATGGAAAAAAAAATAGATCTCCAGATGCTTTGGCAGCTGGTGAGGTGAATGTAGCATTTTGGGACTGTCTGGAAATATAGTAACCAGACATTTTAATTAAAAAGGTAATTATACCCACATGTTTTTCTCTTACATTGCATTGGTCCAAGTCAACAGGTGTTTTTATTGTGAATCAGAGGGCTACAATTTATTAAAAGCTTGGCTTTCAAATAACAGACAATAGTGGATGAAATCCACAGCAAATGAGCTGGAGGACACGGTGGGCCCTTCTCACTCAGTCAGCACAGACTTTGGATTCCATAGGGGTGAGATTCAGTGGCACCTTGAGTGACCCAGAGCTGCTGCCTCCAGTAGCAAATCCCCCAGAGCTTTCGCTGGCCCTACAGGAGGAGGCCCACAGCCTCCCTGCAAAAGGAAGTCATTACACATTGCTGTGTTTTCTAGTCTGAGTTGCGTGGATCCGTGTCTCATTCTGGAAATAATGCCATCACTATCACCAAAGGAAGTATGTTGCAAAATCCCCAGAGTAGATTTTATTTAAAATGTTACTATCATAAAATTCCAGGCTATGAAACGAAGACTTCGGATTCACATTCAAACCTTACCCCTCCCACCTTTTTAAAATATATAGATATGTAGTCAGAAAACGTAAAACATGCTGCAATGATACAAATATATTTTGATACAGAAATTACAGTACATTAAAAACCATGAAAACAAATCGAGGCACTAGACTGTACATCAGCTCTGTTCTGCATGGTTGTGAAGCTGATACAGACTCACTTTTGATGAATAAAAGAACCTTTGTTTGGTGAACATAACTCTACAGGTCATATTGAACAATGTGCTTTGTTGTGAGACGTCACCAAGGTGGCCGGTCCTGAAGGAGGTGTCCTTCCAGGACCCAATGTTCCTACGCAACACGTGTCGCTGCCACTACATGAAAAATAATCATCTTATTGAACGTCTTACTCAAAAAAAAAAAAAAAAAAAAAAAAAAAAAAAAAAAAACAACGCAAAACCATTTAGTATTGTTAAATAAATAATTATTCCATACAGTGGTTAGTTTATATTACACTGCATTGGCCATTTGAACAAATGAAATTCAATAAATAACGCACAGGAATGTATCATTTACGCCTTCGCTCGTAATTCTGTGCTATGCTCCTTTCAGAGGATCCTGCAAGAAGCAGAAAAGCATGAGACACATTGAACATCCACACATAATCCCGCAGCCCACATGGCCCCTGCAGACAGGGAGCAGGGAGGCTGCAGCTCCACGAGAACCCCAAGATTCCCCACCGCCCAGTGAGCTTCTTGGAGGCTGCTGCCAGCAGAGATGTGGGGTCCTGGCACAGCCCCCAGCTGCTTGATTTGGCTTTGCCCCTCAGAACATGTAAGCCTTCAGGATGCTGAGGGACTCTGCCTTTTGCTTCTCTTCTATGAGCTGCCTGAAGTACTCTTAGCTCAGAACCTTTTCACCTTCCAGTATTTCATTACGAAGAGGGGACTTGAGCACTGAAATCAATGCCTGAGTCTAATGGACTTTTTGCACTGACATTCCCACCTCTTGTTCCCAGCATAAACCTTCCCTGCCTCCAGCCCGTACTCACAGCCATCACTTGTACCAAAGGCTGCAGCAGAAGCTAGGCCAAACCCAGAGCATCCCACGAGCAACTGCCACCTACAGCAGTCCAGTAAGAAACAGTGCTCAGCAGTGGTGGGAGAGCCTTCCTCCTTGCTGTTTTAACATGAGGGAGCTCTGCAGAGCACTTCTGGGCAGGGCCTGACCTCAGCAGGCAGAGCTGGTCACCTCTGCTGTGACCCCAAGGAAGCACCGTAGAGCGTGTTCAAGCCCGGCCATGAGCACCCTGCAAGCCTGGGGGCATTCAGAATGATGTGCTGCAGGAGCTGCCACTTCTGAGTGTCACCATCACAGTGAGGTGTGGTTTTTCACGTCAGCCACAGCTCAGCAGGGTAAAACCTCATTATTGCCCTTTGTTACAGATAAATACTTAAATACCACAGCACAGTACTCCAACTATACCAGAAATTTTGAAATCAAAGCAATCAAATCTTTGCCTTTTTTAAACATTTGCTGTATACTGCATCCTCATACTCATGTAAATGTTTCCATTGGGATTACAAAACCCCATTTGTTACTTCCAGGCTATTTACCTTTATGATAGCAGAGATATTTACAGGTATTATGTATTTAATAGCTATTGCCACCGCAGATAAAATTGTACGAAATTATTCATGATACATAGCAATTTGCAAGATGATGCAGAGAGCAATATTACTAGTCTGAACGGGGATTAATTGAAAATAAAAGTTCCTGACAACCATAATTGCAGAATATAGATCACAGCATGTATCCACATAATATCAAGGTGTCAGCTAGTAATTTAACTTTTATCATCCATTTAACAAAACAGAGAAAACTATTTCAGAGACATGAAATGGGCATTAGGGTTTGGGTTTTTTTCTTTTCTTTTTTTTTTTTTTTAATTCCTATACTAGGGAATTAACTGATGCTTTATGGCTCATGATGGCTTTATTTAAAGCATTTATGGCTTTATGATTTTTTCATTGCAGCCCCACAGCAGAGCTGGAGCTCTTGGCAGCCCAGAATCACCTACAGGGCTCATGCTTGTAAGGGAGGAAGGCTATGAGAAAATAGTAGAAATTCACAGCATTCATTCAAGGATTTAAGTGTTTTGTTTTAGTTTTTTTCCATTCTGTGGGTAAAATTAAAAGCCAGAATGTTTAACAGTTCCACCTGCAGAGTTAGATGCTGCCAATTGCAAAGCTCTGCTCTTTCACCTCCTGCTCCAAATCTGAGGAACAGTAATCTGCAGAGACAAAGAGAATATCCCTTTATCTGGGGGACCTGGAATTGAAGTGCAAGTTGAAATAGGTTCATGTTTTCAGCCTCTGATTTTTTTTCCCTGATGCATCAGTGAAATGTCTCTTCCTTGTCACAGCACCTTGAAGACAAGAACACACAGTGGCAAGGACAGGGAAGCGCCCTGGGGACCATCACCTTACTTCACCTGCTTGGTGGCAGCCAGCAGCAGGCCCAGCCACACCAAGAAGCAGGGCCAGGGGCACCCTGACACATGTGGGTTCAGAAAGCCCCAGTCCCTTCTCAGAGAGCTCTCTTCTACCAGCCCATGGGAGAGAACAGAGGCAACAGAGTTAAGCCGCTGTGTATTAGAGTACTGATTCAGTCGCATACATACCGGAACTTAAAGATCTTTTCCCCATAAGTCCAACAAAGGAGTCTGTTTTATGCCCTGAAAAAATATATTTGAGGGTGTTTTAATGCATTTTAAATAGGCTCTTAAGACAATGCATTCTCACAAGGAAAGAAGACACAGACTTCAAAATCAGTCATCTCACATAGTTATTTTTCATGCCACTCTCAGAGCACAGAGAACAAATATTGGTTATTGACTCAGATTGACATGCATTACTTTTTTCCTTTTTTTAAATATGACAGAAAAGCAGCAACCAATAACTGATTCTTACTCCTGTCCCAATACAGTTTTGGTCAGTCTTGTCAAAGGCAGTGTCCTGGCAGAGCTTTCATCTGTATGATGCACCTACTCTACCTGTAGGTGTTAAACCCTCCTCACCAACCAGGCAGAGCCTTACTAGAGATGGAACCAGTGGGATTCTGTCTGGCTGTGTCTAAGTCAGACAGCCAGGCTCTATTTGTGGAATATTTATTACCTTCCTGTTCTGTTGAGCACTCCTCAAGCCACTGGATTTGTAGAGGATAAGTTACTCCAAGTTTTGGCCTCTGGCACGTATCAGATGTGGCAACAACTGTAGTTCAGGTAAGAATGGAAAAGGAGCCATTCTTCTTTCTCTAAGCTGACTTTTGAGGCAGAGATTTCTCTTTGGGAAGAATTTTGCCTGGCTACTTCATCTACAGGCCCAGAGGAATGATTTCAGACCTCGCAGGTACTGAAGCAGCTTCGGAAGGCTGCAGTTGTTTGTTTTTTGTTTTTTTTTTTTTACTTTAGCTAGCAGGATGTTTGACTCTCTAATTGGTCTTCTAATAAATAAACCCAGTGACAAAATCCAGCGATGAACAGAGCACTTATTGACCTCTGCGGACAGAGGAGGTCTCACAAAGTAAGAAAATAATTTTTAAACTGATTAGATCTTCAAGATCCTATTTAAGCATCTTCAGATAAAGAATACACCTGTCCTTGTGCACAGGCAGGATACAGCACACTGCTGACACCACCTCCCACTCGGTGTGGCAAAGACACAAAGCAAGGAATGCACATTGCTCGTGTTGGCTGCTCTTGTTTGTAGGGCAAATGCAACCAGCCCTGAGAGTGGGGCTGACTCACACCCAAGGCAGCACAGGGAGCACCTCACGGCATCTCACTTATCCCTGGAATCATTCTCAGGGATTTGGGAATACACAATTCTAATCTTCCAGAGTTTGCTGTCTTAATTGTTCCTCTCTGAGCCTGGCAGCAAGCCTGCCTCGCCTCTGAGAAAGGTTTACAGAGCCCCCTGAGAAATTAAGAGCTGCAGCATCCTCACTTTAATGTGGATTGAAACCTCACAGCGAGTGGCAGCTCATATTGGGTACAGGTTTGAGACATGACCGGGGGGTGGAGCAGTGATCCACCTCTGATGCTGCCATTCCTCAGCTAAATTCAGCCACACCTGCACCCTGAAACGCGCCGTTCTCCATCAGAGTATCTTTGCATAAGTATTTAAATTATTTACATTTTTTTTTAACTTACTTTTGTGGGAGATCTGGCCATATCCTGGTTGGAGGAGAAAGGAAAGAAAAAAAAGGGAAGAGTAGTTGAAAAAAAAAAAAAGAAAAAAAAACCACAAACAGGCAAACATATATGATTTTACTGCATTATTTTAAAGCATCAAATAATACAGAAACTACACCAAGCACGCTCCAGAGACTTAAGAAAAATTAAGATGATGTTTACAATTGCATTTCTCTTTGAAGAGACAACAAAATCTGTGTCAGAGAGACCCATGCACTGCAAGGTGGCTCTGAGCAGCTCTCAGCTCAGGGAGCTGTGCATGCAGCTGCTTCCAACAGAGATGCCTACATACTCCTTACTGGTGTGTACTCAGCAGTTTAACATGAAGCCCATTCCTTTCTGATAGGGGGTTTATCTTATACTAAGCTTGAACAAGCAACAAGAAAACTCTGGAGAAAAACCTAAAATGTGAGAAGGGAAGGGGACCTCTTTGGAGTGCGAGTGAATGCTGGCAAAGCATGCAGGGGTGCCCTGTCTGGCTCACCCGCATCCCGCTTGCCCATGAGGCCAAAGAACTGCTGGGGCCGGGGTCTCCTTGCCATCCTCTGCAGAAAGTGCTCCAGGGGAAGCGGCAGCTCCTCCTGCGGGGTGACAGCGTGGCACTCAGCGCAGCCCCAGCACCCCCAGCACCCACCCAGCCCTCAGCCTCAGCGCTCACCTTCTGCTCACCGTCGGCCCAGTCTGCCCAGTAGCTGAGGTCATCGGGAGCTGCCACCTCATCAGCCAGTGCCTGTGCCGAGACCAGCAGCAGCACGGTGAAAGCCAGCGGGAGCCTCATGGCCGCCTTGACGTCCTGTGGGGTGCAGGGTAAGCACCTGCAGGGTATCCTGCACACCTACACACGTACACACTCAGGGACAGATCACACACACAGACACACGCCTGCTGCCCTGGATGTGCATACACCCTGCAATTGGGCACCACAGCACGCAGAAACACATCAAGGTGCATCCATTCTCAGACCAAAGCACAGAGCTACATGGGCACACACCTTCACATACAGATGTGTGTGCATCTGAATACACCCTCACATATACGCACACTTACCCAAGTACATGTAGGTCTAGTTATAAGCTCACCTGTGACTCTCCTGAGCTGCACACACACAGCTCTCCACACACATTCTGTCCAGGGATGCTCACACACACCACCATATACACCCCAAAACAGGCTTGCACATGCAGCGCACGGGTGTGGACACACAGGCACACACAGGCACTCTCCTGCACAGCCCCACACATCGTACAGACATACACCCATAGAAGTCCACAAGCATGTACCCCCACAAGCACACAGACACGCACCCTCACGCCTGCAGGCGCACACTGACAGACGGACGAACGAACGGACAGACACGCACCGTTCGCAGCGGGAGCCGGGCGCTGCTCGCCGCGCATTGGCCGCCCGCGGGAGCGCTCCGCACTTTATAGACCTGGCGACGGGGAGGGCCGAGGCTGCCTCATTTGCCTAAATGCAATTACCCCCGCTTTTATCATCCCAGCCCCGCGTCAGCCCCCGCCCCGGCCGGCAGCCCCCGCCTCCAGCTCCCGCCGCGCCTCCCGGGGCTGCCGGGGCCGCTCCCCCCGGCCGGCCGGAGCCGGGGATATAGGGAGCGGGCTGCGGGCATAGGGAGCGGGTACAGGGAGAGGGCACCGCTTTTCTCTTCCCCCTCAGCCCGTTCCGACGGGAGAGCCGCTCCGCACATCCGCTGAAGGAGGGCGAGCAGCGGGCAGGGATGGGACGCGCGGATCTCCGCGGCCACCCCACTGCAGGTCCGGGCTGCCGCCGGCGCCGCGGGGATACGGGCACGGAGCAGTGCGCAGGTTCTGGCTGCTCTGATGGGACAAACGGTTTCCCTGCCTCTCCAGGATGGGCTGCCTACCTGCGGCTATCCCATAGCACAGCATCGGGTGCTCTGTGCGGCTTGTCAGGAGCTTACAGCGCTTCTGAGCAAGAAAACATCTCTCGGATGCTGAAATCAGCTCCCTGGTACTGTCCCTCTGCTTGCTGCAAGGTGCTCCCGCTGAGGTGCTAAACCGCCTCTTCAGGGACAGTTAATTGGGAGGTAACCGTGGAGCAACTGGGGACCCAGCAATTCATCTACTAAATAAAGGTGTGACAAACTCTAGGCCTCCCTGTTCAACAGAAACACTCCCCAGTTCCCAAAGTATTTCCCAAAACACAGCCTGGCATTAGCCTCTTCCCAACACTGGGGATGCCCCCAGGACTCAGCACATCGGGGGGAAGGATGCAGCTCCTCCATAGCCAACAGGGGCTGCCCGACACAGTAGCTGAGAAACATATAATCATAGAATCATTAAGGTTGGATAAGACCAGAGACATCATCTTGTCCAGCTCCAGCCCATCTCCACCATACCCACTAATCATGTCTCTGAGTGCCACATCTGCATAGTTGTTAAACATCCCTGGGATGATGACTCCACCACCTCCCTGGGCATCTTGTTCCACTGCTTCAATACTCTTTCTCACAAGAAATTTTTTCCCTGGAGCCGACCAGGGACCATATGCACTCCAGGCCCCTGCTGGGCACCTCTGCTGGCACCCCCAGCACGGGCAGTGTGAGTGCTCATCCTTCTGCCTGTCATCAAATGACTAAAATGACACTTCAGCAACGCTGGGGAACCCAAACTATCAGATTCTCTTGTTGCAGCTTTGCAGTGTTCTCCTTAATAGGTGAACTTTGAAGAGAGTTGGTGGAAAATTGTTTTGTTCTGTTCTTTCCTTATGCTGTTTCTGTTTAACGTAATGACCACAGACCAAGAGGTCAGCTATATCACACTAGGCTTGGCAATCCTGTGAGTGTCACAGAATCATTGAAGTTGTAAAAGACCACCAAGATCATTGAGTCCAACCATCCACCATGTCCACTAACCCACATCCCTCTGTGCCACACCTACACTCTTCTTGAAAACCTGTTTTACAGAAGTAGCAGGAGCTCCCAGCTTCCTCTGAAGTCAATTCTATCAGTCAGGAGTCTGAGCTATGTTCAGTATAACATGTTTGAACTGGCAAGTTCTCTCTGTTCTGTAATCCAGTGGTTCATCAAAACGGATGTAACCATAGCTTCACCTATGAAATTACAAGGATTTTCCTTCTTCAGAGACAGCAAGAGATGGAAAATTAAAAGGAATGCATTTCAGTCTCCTCTATTCTTCAGAAATGTTAATGAATTCAAGCACTTTATATCAGACTCATCTGATAGTTTGGATGGGAGTGGAGAAATGACTAATAGGTCAAGCTCACTTTTCTCTTTCTGTTTCTAAAACAAATTGACTGCTTAATCTTTCTTTGACCTTCAGTACCTGGACATTACACTATGGGCTTTTCAGAAAGTGAGCATATTTCATGGCTAATGATGAAAACTGATTCCTAGAGAGAGTTTCTAAGTTGATTTTTCTCAACTGAGGGGCAGTAGGAGGTAGGGCAGGAAGGGCCACATTTCAACTTTGGAGCAGCTGGGGCTGCTACCTGCTCCCTGCCCTACGTATGCCTCAGAACATAGTAAAATGACCTCAAGTCTGCAAAAAAAACCTGCTTCTGCAACAGAAACAAAAGCAAATGTCTTCTCACAATGTTAGTGAGTTAATATTTATGTGTCACATTGCAAATAAATATGTGAGATTGTGTGTGGGCACAAGGCATCTGCATTGAATGTCCACCCCATCCTCACTGCACAGATCCCATCCTCTGGTGCATTTAGACTGTGAGATGTCTATCAGCCAACACAAAGACTTCTGTTCATTAATCAGGAAATCATTAGACTCGTGATAAGCCAAAGAGTGATCAAAATTTCCCATGGAAGTGACAGAGAAAGGCACCATTGGAGTTATTATCCAGACATTTTCCTAATTGAGCTGAGGAACCAGCTTAAAGGCTCTTGCTGTGGCTTGAATCTTGACACTAATGGAAAAAATTGGGAAGCAAGTGCCTATGAAACACACCTCAGAGAATTTCTTTTCAGATGGGTTTAATATAATACATCCTCCACAATGATCTTTGTGAAATGTTTATTTGAATTTTATGATGATGATTTGGTTTCCAGTAAAAAGTCCAGTAGTTAATGATAAGACACAATAGCTGCTGCTCTATTATCAAGTGATTCTTGTACCATCAACAAATAGCTAATGTACGCTGGGAAAACAGCGAATTAAATGTAGCCATGAAAGATTTTGAGCATAATGCAAATCTGAATTGTTCAAGGACATAAAATTTCAGAGCACTTGAGCTAAGATGAATGCATCTGACATTGTTCTCCCAAGTTTTTACGCAATATAATAATGTGCTAGATACTTAAACCTGGTGCCTAAGTCTCATTTGTATTGACATCTCTTTTCATCCCTTTATGAGGCGTCTGAAAGTAACAGAGCGAGCCATAGAACAGCTATTTTACATAACTTCAAAAACAAGGGATGAGATGCATTCTACTAAGCATAGTGATGCAGTTTTTTTAATAGATCAGACTGATTTCTGTTGTGACAAGAACAGAAACGTTCTTACCCAGAGCTGTAACTTTCTACATATTGGAAAGAGACCGTGACTGATGACCTCTTAAATTTTTCATAGATATATGTCTCCAGGGGAAACAGAATGATTTTGATCACAGATGCAGTGTCTTTGTAACGTAGTGATGGATTTTGACACTATAAGATTATTTATTGGCAAAGCATCAAAGTGGCTTTGGAAAAATCAGCAGAGCTCACAACAGTCTGATTTTCTAATCAACTGTAGCCAGCTTAGTGAATTACTTTCACCTGTACTTAAATTTCACATGACAATTTTGTTGGCTTGTTTTCTTTTAATGAAGGCTTACATTTCCACAGCATATGCCTGAATGTACTAATGCATGCAAAGCATATGTGATAATTATGCATCTCTGTTTCTCTCTCTCCATCCATGAAGAGAGTGAGAAATTCTACTGCTTGTGAAATCAGACAATACAGGGCCAATTACACAGTGTTCACAGACAGGTAAAGTGGAGCAGTGAGATCTCTGTGCCACAGAATGCCTTTTTCTGGGCAGGTACAGAAGGAAGAAAAGCTGATCTTACACGTAATCATCTGGCAAGTGCTGGAAATGCCAATATTGGTCTTTTGTTCTAATTCTGAAAAGAAAAGGCAATGATGTTCCCACTCTCCTGATCCCTGTCTTTCACACTCCTATCTCTGCTCTGTGCCCTGCCAAGCCATCAGTGTCAATTGCTTCTTACGTAGAGAGCTTCATTAACTCTGATCCAAGGCCCACATTGTCCGTGCTATGTCAGGTAAACGGATTGGACCAGCTGAAATAAATAAATGGCAGGGTGTTAAGATACTGACTGTAAACACACCATATATGTGGTGTGTTTCAAAGCTATCTCCTAACCTAGTAGCTCAATAGGTGATCAACTGAGAAAGGAATAAATGCAGTTCTGCTGAGCTCCTTATGAGAGAGGGTGTGCGTGTTCTTGGAAGAGAAAAAACATTTACCCTCAGCCATTTGGAGCTCAGAGGGAGAGCAGCAAAGCCACCTCAGCATGGAACGCAGCAGGAGCTGTGGAGCAGCTGGTGAGGAGGAACAGGAGGGTGGCTGTCCAACTGCCCATGGATGCCTGCTCCTCTATTGATGGCAGGGCTGAGCAACTGCCAAGATGGAAGTGTTCCTACATCTGTCTTCATTTAGTCTGAGGGAAAAAAATAAGATCTGGACTTGCAGCTCCTCTGACAAGCCTTACCGTCATTCTCCAAACAGTTTTGATTAGGAGCATGGAAGACATGATGTTTGCTGGTTTTTGTTCATTAAGCCAACAAGTGAATGCCATTCTAACAACACATTTTAATAGTAAATACAGAATGGCATTCACTTCACAAAGACAACATCTGTCTCTACAAACCATGAATCTAAGTGTGCTTTTTTCCACATTTACCATAACACGAGATGTGGCACAGATTACTCATGGAAGCTCAGGCATATTATAAGCATCACAGGTCTGAGCTCAACCAGAGAAGCTGAAGTGTGAATTCCCATCACAATGCAAAGGACATAGATAGAGCAGCCAAGAAGCAGATGCTTAAATTAACCAAGTTCATCACTCTTGGCAGAAAACTGCTGACAATGCTTTGTTCCGTAGCAAACAGAGACTCTGTTTGTCTCCTGAATGCTTATTGGATTACAAGTATATTTATAAATCAGTTTATTTGATACAAATGAAACCTTCTGAGTCTGGAGCTCTCGCTCTAAGGCTTTTTGCTTTGATTGTCCAAGCTTACATGAAAACTACTTCACAGTGACCTGTGAGGAGAAAGGGAAGGTTTAAGCCTACTTCTTCAGCAGCTGAAAATAAAAAGTCAATTT